AGTACTAGCTAACGCCTTACAAATTCAGTTCTATTTCCTGGAAAACTAGCTAACACCATCACATATCTGCTTTCCTCAACTTTTTTCAGAAACTTGGGTCACATGGGTGAGCACATTAGCTTCTGCCTATCACAAGGCTGCAGCATGACAGGCTAAGCTAAAGGCTCAGACACAAAACCTTGTCAACAAGGGCCTCTGAAATCAGCTTCTATTTATATCTCTGCCAACTCCAACAACCCACAGAACTGAAGCAGCTGAGCATACACCCACTGTAAGAGGAAAATATGAAATTCAATTAACATGACTACAGCTTCTTTTCTAGGGGAAAAGGGAGTGCAGATAATTAAATTCAATCAAGAAAATGCAGCATCATGAAGTAGTCATCTCAAACAGACATTTTCACCTCTATTTCACAGCAAGAACAGAAAACAACTGGCTATGATCAAAGACCTAACAGGTGATTACTCTCTCATGGCCTTACAAATACATCCCCCAACCTTTTGGTTGGGTGGTTATAACCAAACCTTTGCAAAAAATATAAAGATTCCTTTTGAGGGTAGAAGAGAAAGTCTTAACCCTCAGAGATGTCCCTGTTTTAACCCTGACCTCCCAATATAAAAAGGAGCTATTTTATTCAGCATGTTGACTCAAACAGTAATTTACGTCACTGACCTTCACAGTTACTGGCAAGTTTTCCCAGCTAAACTAAAAAGGGAACATAAATACTTTTTTTATTATTTATTATTATTATTATTAAAGTTAACAAAATTTCATAACTAAGACATCTTTTTAGTTCCAAATTATAACTACAATACAACTACAAACTAGTTTTAAATCAATAATAAAACCTTGGAATCAATCAATAATAAAACCTTGGAATTGAGTCAGCGATAGGGCTAAACTGGCTGGTGAAATAAATACTTATTTATCTGAATATCCTCTGCTAGAAAACGGACCACAAAAAAAACCCCACAAACCTAAAAAAGCCAAACAAACAGCAAGGATGTTTCAGATATACGCCTCTCTAACAGTGTTCTAGGTGAAGCAAAAAGACGAAGTAAATGCGAAGAACACAGATCAAAACCGGCTATTTCCCAATAACAATTAAATCCAGCTCAATGAGTCAGACAAAAGGGAAGGCGCCGCCAAGTGCTCAAAGCGTGGTACGTTTCAGTCGCCTTCCCCTCCCCTCTTCCCCCACCGAGGACACCGGAACACAAAAGACTCGGAGGCTGCTGGGCTAAGGAGCAAAAAAAAATAGGAGGGGGTGCCAAGCCGGAAACGTGGAGCCCAGGGCAGCCCCCGCCGCGCCGGGGCCTCTCAGACACCCCTGAATCATGTCAGGCA